GGTGGCTCACGGGCCGGGAGAACATAGCAGGCCTTTGATTTATATTTACTTTTCACTTTGAATGTGTTATAAAATATACTCAAATCTTAGTTCATTAGCACAGGTAGATAATTTATAAGTAAATATTAGGTTGAACCACAGCAATTGCTGATACTCAATCATTTCAATCTTCAAAAATGGCAGTTATCACGGATTGACAACATATACCTGTTGGGAATACGTATGCTCTACGTTTTTACTGCTCGTGCCCAAGAATAAGCGTGGGAGACTCTGGCCAAGACAACCATCCTCAGGTCCCCACACCCACCCCCATAACTTAGTTCTGTACCCCAAGGGGGCTTTATGATACTTAATTTGAATAAGTAATACATGCAAATAGCATACATTCAAATGGTACTGAAGTGTGGTCACTAAAATGTAAGTCTACCTGTCCCTCAGCTACCAGCTGCCCTTCCCAGAGACAGTTCTTTGTGTCTCCTAACCAGAGGAACTTTGAGCAATGTGTACGTGTCTCTTACAGAAATGTTAGCAACATAGCTTAGAAAACGTTCTATCTGTGCAGTCGCCTCATTTCTATTGGCTGTTTAACATTCTACTGTGTATACTGTACCAACATTTATTTAACCAGTTCTCTGTTGCTGGCAGTAATGCTGTTGCCTATCTTTTGCTGGGTCGTATAGTGTTTTTTCTATCCTCACCCAAGAATGTGTATTGATTTTAGAGAGAGAAGAAGGGAGAGAGACAGAGAGAGAGACAGCAACATTGGTGTGAGAAACATCGATTGATTGCTTCCCATTAGTGCCCCAATCAGGGATTGAACCCACAACCTTTTGGTGTAGGAACAACGCTCCAACCAGCTGAGCCACCTGGCCAGGGCTCCTGTGGTGCTTTGTACACCTCACTTTGTAAGTGTGTTGAATACCTGCAGACAGATGCTCAGCAGTGGGATTGCTGAGCCAGAGGGGGTCTGTGAAGGGCTTAAACACATGGAACTCGTTCATCGTCCTGATCGTGAAAAAAATGGATACTTGTATTTTTTTTCTCCTTTTCCTTTCTTCTTTCTTTCTTATTCTTCCACTTCCTGAGAATTTGACTTGGGCAATTTGTTACCCAGAACAGTCGGAATATTCTGGAACTTTAAACTTTGTAAGCAGCACGACCGTGACCTCTGGTGCTGCTCTTCAGGGTGGAGTGCAGACCCTTATCGCTAGGCCCTTCATTCAGGCCGGTGCTGGTGGTGCAGGCTGCTCAGCCAGCCTCCAGCTCCACAGGCTGTGGTACCAGGAGGCGCCGGCAGGTGGCAGGCAGCGCCCCGCCAGTGGCCAGGGCCTTTGTGAGGCTCTTCTCTGGAGGGCAGCCAGAACCAGAGCCTTTGGACCCTTTCCCAGTGACCTGCCCTCCCAGCAGCAAGCCCAACTCGGTAAGAGAGAGGGTGGGGCTCCGGATCCTTTTCTCCACCTGGTTTTGCAGTCATGTCTTAATGAGTGAGCAGTTTAAAATCGCCAGCTGCTGCCTGGAGGATGGGCTTCAGGAGGCATCACACCTCAGGGTGACAGCCTGGTGCCTACTCCCCATCCAGGAACTAGCTGGGAGGATTTACATACCATGACCTGGGATGGCTTGGGTTTTCTTAATTGTAGGGCCCTACTTCCTGTCTCTTTCAGCCAAATCTCCCACACCCTTCCCATGAATTAGGAGGTCCGCAAAAGCGGCTCTTACTCACCACCCTCTACTCCACCCCCTGTGCTGTGTTCTAGGAAAAAAATAATGAGCTAGAGATTTGAGAGGCCCTGGGGCAAAGTGCTGATCCCTGGTCTGCCTTCTTTGGGGGCACAAGGCCCTGGGGACCAGCTGGACTCAGGGCTCAGGTTGGGGGCACCCCCAGGCCCCAGATCTGTCCCATTGCCTCCCAGTCTCTCTTGCTTACTCACTGTCTCTGACAGATCAGTGCAGCCCTTCCTCAGGCAGGGATCTTGCCCTTCTGTGTTGGGGAGACCAACTCCAGCTTTTGCAGGCGACTGGGGGAGACGGGAGGGCACAGACTGCTGGTGGGAAGAGGGTGGAAGGGGCAGCTGCAGTGGTTGCCTCTTCCCAGCCACTCCCTGAACCAGAGACTAGCCATGTTTGGGGTGTTAGTAGCATTGGGGGGCCCTGGAATAGGTGCTCCCCTGGAGTCCCACAGCTCTCCTCCTCCTAGTTTAGGTCCCTAGATCTTTAGGGACTGCTGGGGTTTTTCACAGGCTGGTGAGTGATATGGGGATAGAGTGGGTGGGGACATTCAGGGCAAGGAATTTCATCCCTTTGTGGGCCAAGGTGGCTGTGATCTCCACAGTCATTCAGCACCCCAAGTGGGGTTAGTGCATGTGAGAGACAGAACCTGCAAGAAGTCTCAGGCTTAGGGTGGGGTGGGGGGGACGGTGGGGGTTCAGGGAAGGGCTGGCAGGAGGCCCTCCTCTGTGAGCTCCCCAGGATTATTTCCCAGCAAAGCAGGAATTTGCATACTCACTGGTTTCCCCATCAGCTTCTCAGCTTCTGGAACCAGGAAAAGAAGAGAGTGGGCAGGGCAGCTGAGGAGTTTGATCCCCTCCAGTGCCTCAGTGCTAGCGCTTCTGTCCCAGAATCATGCCCAGGCCCTGCCACCCTTGCCTCCACACCAGCCCATGGGAACCTCACAGCTGTCAGGCCAGGGAGCTGAGGCCCCGGGAGGAGAGGGAGTTGCCCAGGACCACACAGCCAGGGAGGGGGACTTCTTCTCATGCTGCTGCCATGAGAACTGAGGTATCTTGTCGAATCCAGAGAGAGGCAGGGATCCTTGTGTCCCTTTTACAGGTGGGGACACGGAGGCCCCATTCATAAAGGTGCTTCAAGAGATGGTGGGAAGAACTTCCCAGTTAAAACTCAACTCGTGGGAGAGACATCCTGGGCATTTGGCCTGGCAGCCTCTGAGTGGCTCTGCCCAGAAGTCCGATTGAGAAAGAAGCCTGGAGGGCAGGCTACAAACCCTGGATGGCCAGCCCCCAGGCTGGGGCTGCCCGGAAAGCACAGGACACAAGCTCCGGCCAACAGGGCACTGAACTGACCTCAATCCTCCCCGGAGCACAGCCCCAGCTGGCACCTGCCACCTGGGCTCCATTGCCCTTGGTGTCTGTCAACAAGCCGTCAGGGACAGATACGGCCTCCAGACATTAGCCACAGCCAGCCTGGACCTGCCACCTCCTGCCCACTTCTGTAGGATCTTTACACACACACACACACACACACACACACACACACACACCCGGCCCCAAGCAGAAGCAGCAAATGACCAAGAACTCGGCTCTGGTCAAGGACCAAGCCTAAGCTCTCAAGTCTATGGCCAGGCGGCTGGTGAGATGGGAAGAGGGGTGAAGGCGTCCTGTTCTGCTTCCAGGCCCCTGCTGAGGCCTCACTGCCTTCACACTCCCTTGTATCCATTCATACAGATAGAGGAGGCTTGGTGGCTGGGCTGCTGGCTGCCTGTTGCTGAGCGGGTGGGAGGTGGTCATGTCAGTCATGCTGGATGTAAGTGATGTAAGCAGAGAGGGTTGCAAGGTGCAAGGCTGAGCACACCGCCTCCATCCCTCCCAGGTCCTCCCTCCCTCAGGTTTGTGGGGCCAGGGGACCTGAACTTGAGGCCCTGCCCAGTCCACCCCTCTCCGTGGGACCTTGGGCAAGTCAGTCACTCAGCATTGTCAGTGGCTGATAATGAACAGGCCAGGCCAGTATGTTAGCTTCCTGTCCCATAAAAACAAAGGCCCATAAATAGCCTTTTAACCTGGAGTACACATCTTGATTGGGAAACTTTTTTTTATATAAATAAGGCAATGCCATGTCTTTGTGCAGATAAACTTCCCGAGAAGGCCGAGCGCCTGGCCTGGGCTCCCTCGGCAAGCACACCCGGGATTGTCCGTGGATCCCTGCCTCAGTGCAGGCGTCTGAAGAACATTTGGTGTGAAGAACAGGGTGGGGCCCTGTGTGCAGACTGCCAATGTGGCATTTTCTCCAACATGCTGCACAGCTGTTCTGTGGTGAAGCAGTTTCTTAACAGAAAAAATACAGATACCATAAAAGCTTCACAAACAATAAGCACAAATTAGGTGAGATGTTCAAAGATGCAATTATTAAAGCTGTACTTTTTCCATTTCCCCTGCTGATAGTGTTGTTTGGGGATCGTCTGACAGCCCAGCTTTTTACTTAAAATAGTTAACATTTATACCTCATTTTTTAATCTGCAAAAGAAAGGGAGAGAGAGAGAGTATATTCCTGCCCGGCCTCTTTCCTTCTAGGGCGGATGAGAAGGTGGAGATGGTGGATGGAGGTAAACATAGCCCACCCAGACCAACACCAGAGGCCCTTTAACGAGCACTTACTATGTGCCAGGCATTGGGACACACCCAACAGGTATGATCTCATGTACTCCTTACAACCCTTCAGGTACCATTATTATCCCTATTTCATGGATGAGGCAACTGAGACCCAGAGAGGAGTGTTCTTTTGCCCCAGGTGACAGAGCCAGTTCTTGAGTTTGGGACCAGGACTCTACCCTCCCATTGGTTACCCTAGCCTTGCCTCTCCAGCTGCTCCTGCCCCAGCGCCCTCTGCCCCGCTCTCCACTCCGACACCATCTCTACCCACTCCACCAGCTCTCCTGGAAGCCACCTTCTCAGCCAGGTGGTTTCCCATCCTCAGTTCTGGTCATAGGACAGAAAAGGGGAAGAGCTCCCCCCACTCCCACCCACTCCCCACACCACAATTTCAGACAAGCTCTTTCTACTTCTGCTTCCTACCTCCCTCCACCCCTCCCATGTCCAAGGCATCTTCTAGAGGCCTGGCCCAGGGGTGGAGAGAGAGAGAGAGAGATTCCTCTGCCCCAGAGGGACTGAGCAGTCCTGGTGGGGCTTGGCAGGTCCATGTGCACACCTCTGACCTCCCATCACCCAAAAACCAGCTCAACCCGCAAGCACAACAAAGACCATCACCTCTTCAAAGGGCTCACATTGTACTTTATTGATGTGTTGGGGAGGCAAGGACTTTCCACTTAAAACATTAACATTACATGTGTCTCCCCCTACTGCGGGGAAGGGTGAGATGACTCCAAGAGCAGAGGAAGGGGGAGGAAGAGAGGGTAGGGATAGAGGGCTCTGGACCCCTGGCAGGGGTGATGGGATAGGCGAACTGAGTGGACAGGTGGGTTATTAAGAAGCATCTTGCTTACTAACATGAAGCCTCATGTCCGAGAGAGCACGGATGAGGCCTCATTGGCTTAGAGGAGGGGCCCTTGGAGGGCAGGCACACGGTGCCCAACTAGCCAGCCAAGACTGGCACCCCAGGGACGGGGTGGAGGTGGGGGGCCGTGCACAGGGCCCCCAGCCCAGGCCTCTGCTCCCCCGGCCTCCCTCCCCGCCCTGAGAGAAAGGAGGGTTTGGGCTTTAGCCACGGACCGACGGCCGTTACCGGCAGCGTCTCCTTAAACTACAGAGATACAATGTGCATCAACAGGGCGATCACTTCTGACCCACTCAGGCAGACAGCTAGAGGTGCCGAGTGGGTCAGAACCAATCCTACAGTATCTTTGGTTTGTGGGTTCCCTTCCCTACTTTAATCCTCCCTCTTTCCAGCCTCCAGGGTGGGCTGTGGGGCTGAGAATGGGCTGCTCAATGGCCCGCAGTCCAGCCGGACAGCCCTGGGAGGGTTTCCTATTCACTGGGGTGCTGGGACTTATAGGAGAGGATCTCGGCAGCCAGCTGCTGGGGGTCCAAGAGCTGTGGGAAGCGCCCCATCACGGCCTCCACCAGGCGTGGGGGGAAGACGCCACACAGCTTGGTAAACACACTGGCTCGCTCCTTGGCCAGGCCGCCTGCCCCACCCCATGTGCCCCTGTCAGCCCCTGGGCTGGGCACCTGGGGCTCCTGCAGCACTGGGGTGGGTTGGGGCAGCTGGTATGGCTCAGACCAGTACTCTCGAGGTGGAAAGGCCGCCGGTGGAGGTGCGTAGTCGGCAGGGACACTGAAGTGGCCGGCACCCACAGCCCGCCCGAAGGCTGGAGAGAAGGCCGGAGTAGCTGGGAGCTTAGCCTCATAGGGGTTGTAGCCAGCATAAGGGCTCCCTCCTCGACCCCCCCACAGTTCTGACATCTGGCTCTCCAGGGAGCCAATGCCTGAGTCCAGGCAGTCCTGAGAAGTGTACGGGAGGGAATCCAGGGTCTGTGGGAACCAGTCCGTGGCCCCAAAGCTGCTGCCGCTGCCCCCACTGGGTGGGAGGCTCCTGCCTGTGGTCACTGGGACAAAGGTCTGGGTCAGACCTTCTCGGTGGGACCCTGGGGCTGCCTGGGCTCCCAGTTTCTTCCCTTCCAGGCTGCACTGCTCACGCTCTGGGGGCAGAGAGCCAGGCTGAGACGGAGATGAAGGTCGCCGGCCACTTTTGTCCTTGCTGGGGGCCCGAGGGGGCGAGAGCAGGGCATTGGCACGGAGCTCGTCCGCCACGGAGCGCTGGGGGCGGCTCGGCCGCTCTGGGTGGAAGAACCGGCACTTGATTCCGTAGGTGCATTTTCTTCCTGGAGACAAGGAAGGGGGACTCTAAGCAGGGGATCTCTAGGACCGGGGGGGAGGGAGGGGGCACAGGAAACTTGGGTTTGGGTGGTCCCTATGAGGAAGAACCTGGGTGCAGGTGAGAGGGAGGCGAAGGAGCGAGGGGGGCCAGGGAGGGTGGAGCTGGGCCTCTTACCATAGGGACATGGCTGCTTCCTGTGATCAGCCGTGAGTGGCTTCTTCCGCAGGAAGTTGTCCAGGCTTGGCCCGTGACGGCCCAGGGGGTCATCAGGGGGCATGAACCTGCAGAAGAGGTGGGAGACATGAGGGGGACTTCCCAGTGCTGGGAGGGGGCTGGACAGTGAGCCTCTCCTGGAACGACGAGAGGGCAGCTCCTAACACTGGGGCCCATCCAGCAGGACATCCCTGGGCAACCCTCATGCTGGGCGCTCTCTGAGGCCAGAGGGGATTGGGCAACCGGAAAATCTGAACCCGAGGCTGCGTCCACTGGCCTCAGGTCAGAGATTCAGTGCTGGGAACCCAGAGGCTCTCTTGGAACCAGTGACCACATCCTCAAATGAGGATTAAAAAAAAAATTAAAAAATGCTATAGCCCTAGCTGGTTTGGCTCAGTGGATAGAGCATCAGCCTGAGGACTGAAGGGTCCTGCGTTCGATCCTGGTCAATGGCTCAATCCCCAATAGGGGTCATGCAGGAGGCAGCTGATCAATGATTCTCTCATCATTGATGTTTCTACCTCTCTTTCTCCCTTCCTCTCTGAAATCAATAAAAATGTTAAAAAAAACAAAAATGCTACAGCTCTGCCCTCCCGATCAAACACCCCTGCCTCAGCCTGGTCCCAGCCTGACCCTCTTATGTGGTGCTGTGTCCATCTCCCCATCAAAGCTGCCCGGATCCCCCCAGCAGAGGCCCCTCCCTCCGGCGGGAGCGTACTTGTCGTTGACGAAGGAATACATGAGCAGCCGCTCCTCGATGAAGCGCTTCCACTCCTGCCGCTCGCCCTGGAGGTCCCGGTAGGTGTCGTTGGAAACCACCACCCCGTCAGACTCGAAGGCCAGTTTCACGATGAAGCGGTCATCGTAGCACACCACTCGCTTGCCACCCACGCGCCTCGACGGCGTGAACACCAGGATCTTCTTCTTCTCCAGTTCCCGCAGGATGTGCTGGTCTGGGAGGGGCAGGGGTACAGGTCAGAGCCCAGCCTGGACCCAGAACCAGGCCCACTGGGCTCCCAACCTCCTGGCGACTGGCACAGGAGCTCCAGGGACGGACGCGGCTCTGCTGAGGCCACGGCCACACTCAGCCCCTCCCCTGGGCCTGGCACACGGTTTGCTGCCTAAAAATCCAGCACATCTGAGAACAGGCCTGTAGGCCCGCTCAGCAAAGGCTCTGAGCACAGAGCTGGGCCTTAACCTTCTCTCCTTCTGCGTATCAGCCTGTTTGTGCCACAGAGGGCTCGGCTCCGGTGCTCACCCCGCCGTCCCGTAGGGGGTCCGTGAATGAGCCTCTGCCTGGAGACAGAGTCTTGGCCACTTTTCCTAGAGCGGGTGGCCCCAGCCAGCCTGTCCCAGATCTCAAGACTTCTAGGGAAATGAACTCGGGGTTTTCCTCTCAAAGGTTAGGGGCTCTTGTAGGAGCAATGGTGAGCAGCCAGCATGTGCTGAGCACTGACTATGTGCCAGGCACCCTTCTAAGCACTGACGATGCGTTAACTCATGTGATCCTCCCAACAACCCCGAGAGATTATCAACCCCACCCATCTCCGGTGAGGAGCAAGTGGCTCTGAACAAGGCTGCCAGAGGGCCAGGGCCAGGATTCCAGAGCCCACGGGCTCAGCCACCGCACTAGGCTGCCCCTGGGGGTGTGGAGAGAGCGCCCCACCATTAGAGGAGAAATGTGCCCAGTGCTCGAGGCAGAGGCTACGGCCACACACACAGGGTCTGCTCTGGGGAGAAGCAGGGCTCCTGGGGCGGCAATCCCGCCCCCACCCAGAGGTGTCACTCACCTGTGATGGGCACATCGGGCCGGGGCTGCTCCTTTCTCCAGGATGGCACGAACACCGTGATGTCTGTGTGGCCCCGCTCCAGAAACCAGTTCACGGCCAGCAGGATGCCCCGGCAGGAGAAGACCTCCTTGTTCCCATGGCTGTCGGGAAGAGGAGGGGCATCAGGAGGGAGGGAGTCCCACTCTAGCCCCTGCCCTGGCTCTCAGCCCACCCTCTTCTGGCCG